CCAGTGATATGCAGGATATGCTAATCTTTGTACCTTGTTTAGAATAGAGACGTAAATCTTGGTATCCACCGCTCTCCACAAAACAAGAGCTCCGTAGGTCAAAATAGGTCTTATAACCGCGGTGTACATCCAGTGCACAATGTATGGTTTAATACCCTATCTTTTCCTAAAGGGTTTCATTAGACTCTCAGCATTACGTTTCCACGTGAGCTTAGAGCCTAAAATTACTCCAAAATATTTGGCTTGGTGAAAAGAACCAGTTCAGTTTTGTCCGAGTTAACACCGTTTTCCTTGGCCCATGATAGTAGAACGATGAGGTAGACTAATTCCAAGAGTTCATTTATTGTGGGGAGAAATATCCCTGGAATAAAAAGCACATTGTCGTCAGCGTATGCGACTACTTTGAAGCCCATCCTACTGAGTCTGAAAAGGATTTTATTTACGACAACATTCCACAGGAGTGGAGAGATGACACCACCTTGTGTTTGCCTCTTGTTACAACATTCCTTGTTTTGTCAATACCCGAAATTTGAGTTAATGGCCCTGCTTTTGAGCATGTTTTCTGTCCAATTTTTTATTCGCTGTGTTGATCAGCGGCTTGTCATTTTTTAGGTTATTTTTTATTAAATATTTAATATATATAATTAACGAATTAATTCATTTTAGTTTTTGGTAAATTATTGATTGTTTTGATTATTTTTTTTTAATTGGAAAAAGTAATTTTTTAATTTTTTTTACTAATTTGATAATTGATATTATAATAGGTGTAATAGGTGCAAAATTTGTTTGTTGTACATAATTATTTACTGTAACATTTTCAGTGGTCTGGGCATCGGAAAAAATGTATTTATTTTTAACCACACATGTATTATATAATTATTTTTTTTTTATTAGTTTACATTATATTTTATCAATATGTCGTAATAACACCCAAATGTATTCGTATTCATGCAATGAAATTGTGTAATAGGTAATTCAGATACAAATGTAATTTAAACAGACGCACATACAAGTACTTATAAAACGTGTCTACAACCATTTATAGATTGTGAAAAAATGATGCACTTGAACTTTGAAAAAAAAGTATTAGAAAAAAATTAATGGTAACAACAAAAAGCCCAATAATTTGTTGGTAACTATGATCACATTGTTTTCATTCAGTTGCCAGCTTTAAGTAACATTATTCAGCATCTTTTAGTAATGAAATGAAAAAAATAAACTTAAATACTGTTAAATGACCAATGTTAAATAAATATATGTATGTATTTATTAATGATTATGTACATTGATACCAGAAGGCTTAAATAAATGAAAACATTCAAACGAAATAAACGTTATTTCAAACAAGTAAACATAATTATGAACTTAAGAGCTCTATTCGGCGGGTTCAGTTGTATGGGGGCTAGGTGAAATAATCGACCGATGTTAACCATTTTCAATAGGCTTTGTCTCTGGTACAACAGAAAATCATTGAATTATCTTCAAAATTGCGACCTGTAGTTTGATTACAAGGTTTAAACGGACGGACGGACAGATGGAAGGACGGATGGACAGACGGACGGACAGTCGGACATAGCTAAATCGACTCAGAAAATGATTCTATGCTGATTGGTATACTTTAAGAACCAATATTATTGTGCGTTACAAACATCAGCACAAACCCAATATACCCTCTCCACTAAAGTGTTGTAGGGTATAAAAACTGTTACAAGATGCCACTTTTAGTATTGAAAGTGAAATTTTGAAGTATTTATGTATTTATCTTTGAGTTTGGTGATTTATTTTTTTACAGCTGCTGATGTTGCCTTTTAGTTTCAATATGATAAACGATTTTTGAACGAACATAATTATGTAGCTTGAAGAAGAAATTAAAAATAATAGTAGTATTTCAAATTAAAAGTGTTAAAGTTATTAAATTGAATGAAATGAAATGAAGAGGTATTGAATAATATTTAATGTTATTGTAAATTGTTGTTGTGAACTGATTTGTTGTTACACTTAAATGTATTAAATATTTTTTTTTATTTTGTTTTTTGTTAAAAAAATATTTATGTGGGTCTATTTGAGTACTCTACCAGATCTACTTAAATTCATTTTATTTTTTTTGAACATATTGCAATTAATATTTTACTTTTTGATGGTTTTGCAAAAAGATATTTATTACTTTTATTATATTTTAAAAAATCAAAGACTATTATTACTTTTGCATATTTATTTGATGGCGTTTTCAATTAAAGTTGTTATTGTTATTTAGCGAAGGGCCTTGTTGTGACCTTAAATATTTGTAGAAAATTTAAATGACTGAAAACTTGTGAAATTTTCATTTTATTTGGCGAGTTTCTAACTTCTTCGGAAGCAAAATTTAATTACTTCCAAAAAAGTGAGTTTCTAAAAAATACTAAAAAAATACACAGAAAGAACAAGTAAGAATTTATAGTCGGGCATTGCCGATCATATGATACCCTACACCATTAATTATATTAGGTTAGGTTGATAGGAGGATGTATACTACATTTAATCCGAAGAAATACAAATACATCGGGCCTGTTGTGCGCTCCTTATCATGAAAAAAAAAAAAATTTCACTGAATGAATTATTTTTCAGTGTTCAGAAACTCAGTTTCCTGAACGTAATTCCTTAGAATCTTCCAATCAGTGTTAGTCAGGAATGTTATTTCCGGAATAACATCACTTCCAAGATACTTGGATCTAACTTCGACGAATGCCTGGCAGTGGCAAAGAAAGTGCTCCAGAGTTTCACTGTCCTCTCCACATGCTCTACATTCGTCTGAATCCGCACGTCCAATTTGCATAGATGTGCTTGTAATCCTGTGTGTCCACTCAGAATACGTACCATCATACTAACTTCAGACTTGCTCATTTTGAGGAGATTTTTCGTCTTGCTCTCATCAGGGTCACCCCATAGGATCTTCGTGATTCTACCCACTGTTTCATTATTCCAAGAGGCCTTATGGGATTCTCTCACCCATATTTTTACTTCAGCTTTTGTTGCGTCGAATGGTTTTCCGTTTGTCAGGTTAACTGCCTCGAGCTCCCTTCCCTTTAAAGCTATAACATTCGACCGTTCGTTGCCGATTACTCCCGAGTGGCCTAGTACCCATATGATGTAAACCTTACCTCTGGGAGAGTATTCAGTTAAAGCTTTCTTACAATCCAAAACGGTCATAGATTTAGTTCTATCACCTGATATTAATTATATTAAAAATGCTGATTATTGTTTTAATAATATTTAATTTAATTTTTTAATATTTAATTTTATCTTAATTCAGAAATATTTTTAAAATTTCTTGACAAAAGAGGAATTTTCTAATGCTGGCAGGGGGTTAATATGGTCCTATCCTTATAAATTTTAGTAGAGAAATTTACGTCTACATTAGTTATTTATGCAGAATATCATCGTAACATTATTGTTTTTAAGTGAATTTTGACCATCAAGTAATTTTCTGAAGGGGATTTTATATGGGCGATAAATGAGGACCGATCATTACGAAAGTCAGCAGTATCATTAAGACTTATATAAAACAAAAGTTTTGCGATTTTTTAAGTGATACAAGAACATTTAACATATTTATGAACTCAAAATCCCTATTTGGGGGATACGGTTGTATGGGGGCTATACGAAATAATGGTTCGATTTTAACCATTTATCTTTGATTTCAATAGGCTTTGTCCTTGAGTCAAGAGTATGTGCCAAATTTCATCAAATTGCAACCTGTATAGTGCGCACAAGGTTTACATGGACACACAGACAGACGGACGGACAGACGGACATATCTAAATCAACTAAGAAAGTGATTCCAATTTTGCACAAATGGATCCCCAATATCGGACTAACTATAAACAATTTTTGTAGTAAAATGTCCGTCCAACGTTCAAAATCAATTAAAAACGATAAGAAGGGTATTTTCCAGAAAAAAACTCTTGATCTGGAATGTTCGGTTTAAAAAATTGTCGAAATGAGAAATCACATATTGTAGGAAAATAATCGCAATACAATAGTGACTAAGCGATGGGCCCTATAATAGTAATAATAATAAATAATAGTAGTAATAATAATGAATATGATCGAAGATTTAGATACGGAAGATATCTGGTGATAGAAGGATGCAGAATAAACTTTATAGTATTAACAAGTAAAAGTTGGGCATAGTCGACCATATGATGCCCTACAACAGTAATTATATTAAATTTGTTAAGTATTTTTATAATAATAAAACATTTAATTTAATTTTTACCTTAATTCCGAAATATTTTAACAATTTGCTGACAAAAAAAAGGGATTTTATAAAAGAGAGGTTATATGGGGCCAGGTGGTTAATATGGGCCTATTCATATAAATTTTGTTAGAGGGATTTACGTCTACATTAAAGTTATTTATGCAGAATATCATCATGATATTAGTGTTTATAAGAGAACTTTGACCATCAAGTCATTTTATGAAGGGGACTTTGTGTGGGGGATAGGGTCAAATGAGGCCCGATTATTACGAAAATCAGCAGTTTTTGCCGATTTTTGGTGTGGTACATGAATATTTAACATATTCATGAGCTCAAAAGTCCTATTCGGGGGTACGGTTTCATGGGGGCTATGCGAAATAATGTATCGATTTTAACTATTTTGAATAGGTTTCGTCCTTGGGTCAAAAGATCATCTAATTATCTTAAAAATTGCGACCTGTACCGTGCGCACAAGGTTTACATGGACACACAGACAGACAGGTAGACGGACAAACGACATAGCTAAATCCACCTAGAAAGTGATTCTGAGCCGATTGGTATACTTTAAGGGCGTAGGACCAATATTTACGGGTGTTACAAACACAAAATATTCACCCCGCTATAGCGGTGTAGGGTATAATGAAATTCTGGAAAAACAGCACTATATCTAAGGATTCAGAATACAAACAAGTTATGAAAACTACAAACTCATTATGAAGGGCAAAAAAAATATTATTTTCTTACATTTAAATAAAAATAGTTATTTAAATTTTACAAAACAATCAGCCATTTATTTATCAAATAAACAAAAAATTATTTAGTGTATGGTTCAATCCACTTCCATTCTCCCCAAACAACACATTTTTGTAAAGGTTCCATGAAGGCCTCATTGGCAGGACATTGAATGTAATCAGCTTTAGCTTGACCCTCAGGACATACCCAGTAGTGAGTGGGATCGGAAATATCACGGAACATTCGGCTATGATCGTTGACAACAGCACAGTTGGGTTCAGCATAAATATCTTGGGGCTCGTAGTGAGGCTGGACGTAGGCAGCCGAAGCAAAGGCCACTACAGCGAAAAGGACAACCAAAGCTACTAAAAATTAAAAAGGTATTTTATAAATTTATTTGAGACAGTCAAAAAAATTAAAAATAATATATACCTTTTTGCATTTTTGAATAATGACTTCTAAAATTCTGTTAGATAATGATTTTAATTGGCAATTTTCACTTGATTATATAGTCGTTTAAAAAATAATTCTTTTTTGCTTCATTTTTATGCCTGGAAATAAAACATCTTTTAACAATTAGAACTACACGTAAATATTGATAAGATTTACTGCATTACTTACCAACCCCAATTCAATTATAAATTTTACAAATTTCGTCACAATTAATTAATACTGGAAGTAAAAGTTTAAACCGATCATATAATACTCTAGGACAAAGGGATGATTTTCAGAAAATATTCATTTATAAACAATTTGATTTTAATGATTCGTAATAGCATTAAAGAGATTGAGAAAAGCTTTGCTGCGGATCCCTATTGTTATACAGTATAGAGGATAAATTCCTTTTATACTAATTTAAATTATAATGTACTCATTAAGATTTAATACTGAAAAAGTACAACATTTTACTGATACATATTAAATCATTTTCGAGTCCTGAATTCAGGCTGAATATAGGGTAACTTATACATTCAAATGTATTCAAGTATTTCTAGAAAACTTTCCAACGAAATGGCAAAATGTTTTGCAATTAAACACAAGCGATAAGAGTATATACTTTTTAAATATATGATGATGCATTCAATTAAGGTGTGTTCCTAAGATTCCTAAGAAAAATTCAGCTATAAATACTTCTTTCTTTCTTTCGATTTCAGTACAGATCATTCTCGAAGTCTTTCAATATTAGAAAACAAATATGAAATACTGTAAGTTATAATAAAATAATAATTATATTTTTGTGTTAAAAAAATCATATTTTTCCAGTAATTTGCTTGGCATTCTTGGTCTCAATGGCTGTTACCACTGTTTTGGCTGTTGCCGGTCAATCTGCTTGCCGTGATCCCTCTGAAGTTGGTCAAACCTATCCTCATCACTGGGATCCCACTAAGTATTGGTATTGTGAAAAATTAAATGAAGTTGCTTTGGAGGTGGACTGTCCTAAGGGTCAGGCTTATATGCATTTGATGAAGGCCTGCATTCCTTGGCCCAACTATATCTGGAAGAAACCCGAAAATCCCCCAACTGTTGCTTAATTTGATTTTTGATTAAATAAAAAGAAGTTAATATATATTGAAATCAGTTATGGAAAGAATTTTTAGTTGGAAAAGTCTTCTTTAAGTGGGTTATGATAAATCAATTCCTGATATTTCATATTGGATCAATTAATTCGCAGAGTGATATAAATGGAATGGAAGTGAATGGAACTGAAGGAAATGATTAATTATGTTTCTTGTCTTACTTTCGACAATAGTTCTAAAATCTTAGTTGGTTAGTTAGTTAGTTAGTTAGTTAGTTAGTTAGTTAGTTAGTTAGTTAGTTAGTTAGTTAGTTAGGTAGTTAGGTAGTTAGTTAGTTAGTAGTTAGTTAGTAGTTAGTTAGTTAGTTAGTTAGTTAGTTAGTTAGTTAGTAGTTAGTTAGTAGTTAGTTAGTTAGTTAGTTAGTCAGTCAGTTAGTTAGGTTAGTTAGTTAGTTAGTTAGTTAGTTAGTTAGTTAGTTAGTTAGTTAGTTAGTTAGTTAGTTATTTAGTAGTTATTTAGTAGTAGTAGTAGTAGTTAGTTAGTTAGTTAGTTAGTTAGTTAGTTAGTTAGTTAGTAGTTAGTTAGTTAGTAGTTAGTTAGTTAGTTAGTTAGTTAGTTAGTTAGTTATTTAGTTAGTTAGTTAGTTAGTTAGTTAGTTAGTTAGTAGTTAGTTAGTTAGTTAGTTAGTTAGTTAGTAGTTAGTTAGTTAGTTAGTTAGTTAGTTAGTTAGTTAGTTAGTTAGTTAGTTAGTTAGTTAGTTAGTTAGTTAGTTAGTTAGTTAGTAGTTAGTTAGTTAGTAGTTAGTTAGTAGTAGTTAGTAGTTGTTAGTTAGTTAGTTAGTTAGTTAGTTAGTTAGTTAGTTAGTTAGTTAGTTAGTTAGTTAGTTAGTTAGTTAGTTAGTTAGTGTAGTTAGTTAGTTAGTTAGTTAGTTAGTTAGTTAGTTAGTTAGTTAGTTAGTTAGTTAGTTAGTTAGTTAGTTAGTTAGTTAGTTAGTTAGTTAGTTAGTTAGTTAGTTAGTTAGTTAGTTAGTTAGTTAGTTAGTTAGTTAGTTAGTTAGTTAGTTAGTTAGTTAGTTAGTTAGTTAGTTAGTTAGTTAGTTAGTTAGTTAGTTAGTTAGTTAGTTAGTTAGTTAGTTAGTTAGTTAGTTAGTTAGTTAGTTAGTTAGTTAGTTAGTTAGTAGTTAGTTAGTTAGTTAGTTAGTTAGTTAGTTAGTTAGTTAGTTAGTTAGTTAGTTAGTTAGTTAGTTAGTTAGTTAGTTAGTTAGTTAGTTAGTTAGTTAGTTAGTTAGTTAGTAGTTAGTTAGTTAGTTAGTTAGTTAGTAGTTAGTTAGTTAGTTAGTTAGTTAGTTAGTTAGTTAGTTAGTTAGTTAGTTAGTTAGTTAGTTAGTTAGTTAGTTAGTAGTTAGTTAGTTAGTTAGTTAGTTAGTTAGTTAGTTAGTAGTTAGTAGTTAGTTAGTTAGTTAGTTAGTTAGTTAGTTAGTTAGTTAGTTAGTTAGTAGTTAGTTAGTTAGTTAGTAGTTAGTTAGTTAGTTAGTTAGTTAGTTAGTTAGTTAGTTAGTTAGTTAGTTAGTTAGTTAGTTAGTAGTTAGTTAGTTTAGTTAGTTAGTTAGTTAGTTAGTAGTTAGTTAGTTAGTTAGTTAGTTAGTTAGTTAGTTAGTTAGTTAGTAGTTAGTTAGTTAGTTAGTTAGTTAGTTAGTTAGTTAGTTAGTTAGTTAGTTAGTAGTTAGTTAGTTAGTTAGTAGTTAGTTAGTTAGTTAGTTAGTTAGTTAGTTAGTTAGTTAGTTAGTTAGTTAGTTAGTTAGTTAGTTAGTTAGTTAGTTAGTTAGTTAGTTAGTTGTAGTTACTTAGATAGTTAATTAATTAATAAAAAATACTTTTTCACGTTAGACCATAACCATAACTCCATTTCATAAAGTATCTATTAGATGAGAAGAATCGTCCAAAAGTTATAGTATTAAGATAAAATTTAATAAAAAAATATTCTACTTGGAAATTACTCCTTTAAAATTCTACAGATTTCAGTTCGAAATTGTCACCATAAAAAGCCCAAGTCCACATTCAGTTCCCAAAATTTACTTCTAATTTATGACTTATGCTTGGATGGAGGTCACACATATAAGATTCTCTTATTTGTTAAAAAGTTAAAGATTTAACAATTAAAAAAAATAAATTTTTTTAGAGGTAAATTCTATGATTTGCTTAACTATAACATTATATCCACAATATTCCTAAGCAATTAATATTAGGAATAAAATAATTACTATTAAGTTAATACATCAATATTGATTACTTTTAATAATTGTTTATTGATTTCAACTAAAACAACTAGAAACAGCAAAAGTGTCATCATTTATATTTACAAAAATAATATAGATTGTTGTTCTTGTTTCTCAATAAAATCATAAAAAATAATTATAAGTGAATGGTGGGCATCAAGTCACTAGAACTGCATCAACAATGAATGGTTACTGTAGATAGTAGTAACTATTAGATACATACACTAACAATACTTAGTGCTACGGAAAATGCTTGACACTGCATTCAATGAATTTTGCGGTGCAACATCAATTGATGTTGAAGCGTGTATAATTGAAATCATTATAATTTTCTAGTATTTGTAACACTGCATGATTGCAAACATAAATTTATATCGCCATATGAAATGTAAAATAACGAAACATTATGTTTAAAATTTTGCAGATATTTTAGATTTTATATTTGAATTTAAAACACATTTTTTATTGTTAGCATGTGTTTTTTTTATAATAAAAATACTATATTATTGTTCGGTTTAACGTTATTTGCTGTTGAGGTGACGATATATTTATAAGTACAAACATACAAATACATATGTATGTATATATTTTTCAAAGTGTAGAATACTGCAATCAATATACATATATCTTCCTTTATTGCTGTTTTGATATAATTATAACTATGTCTATACATTAGTGTGGACACAAAATGGTAGCACTTGATATTCCCATCTAAAATTAAAATTGTGTTCATTCTAAGATACCATTTCTCAAACTTTACGGACCACCCTAATGTACATATATGTATGAAGATGTATTTATATGAATATAAGTATTTGAATCTGTAATAATGTCATTGCAATAATAATGTTTTGAAGATGATGCACTTTTGAGCAAATAATAAAAAAAAACTAAATGAACAAATTTGCAATATTACACATAATTGACTATTTCAAGTTCAAGTATCTAACTTGCATTGGTTTTTAAAAGGCGCCTTTTTAAGTTTTTCAATTTTCCATTTTTTTGTACAAGTTTTGATAGATAAAGGCCATTAAAAAAATATAATTTTAAATTTGTTTTGACATTTTTAAGTAAATTATTTTAATATTAATGCATTAAAATTAATTGCAGTAGAAGTGATTAAAATATACAATTATATTTAAAGATTAAAAATCTTTGTTATTTTATTGATAAAATACCGGATATGCAAATTTTTTAAATGTTTTATATCCTTAGTATATAAAGGAAATGGTTTTAATATAATCATTTTAATAAATTCTGCAGTTTTTATATCAGTTTCTATTTAAAAAAAAAAAAAATCAAAAAAAAGGAGGGGTTATGATAGGTCCTTAACGAAGAAGTTGAATTCACGGTTTCACCTAGAAATTATTTAGAGGTGAAAATCAAAAACAAAAATGTTAATATAAATCTTATATTACTCAATTAGATATGTCATTAAGAATTTTTTCGGAGATGTGATTAAAATTCCAAAAAAAGAGAAGAAATTTCAACTCGTTCATTTCTCAATAAATCGAACGTTGCGGTCGAATTATGGTCCGGATCAATGTCATTGTTTATTACAAATCCGTTAAGCTGAACAAAATTTGAAAACAAATATCTAAGCCTGATACTCAAAGTTAATTTTGATAAATGTCAAAAAGTGCAAAAACTATTTAATGTCTTTCAATTGTAATTACTTACCTAACAACTTACTTTTCAATGACAACTACATAACGTCTGTATTACATAGAAGTAGT